TATTATGACGTGTCCACGCCACACCCGTGTCATATATTTTTAAAAAATGTCGTGTTTCGTGTCCGTGTCGTCGTGTTGGTATCGATGCATCATAGTCGTGTTGACATAAAATCTCAATCGGAGGGGTCAAATATCAAAACCAATTAAAATCTAAATCCTTAAAATAAAATTTATCATCTAAAAACTTAAAATTACAAAACATCAATTTCCCGCAACCGTTTGTCGAGGGTGATAAATTTGAAATTAACCTTAGCTCACAAAGTGTGAATGTCATGTCAAGTGTATTACTAAGATTCATCCCCAAATAGTCTCTTGCCAACAAGGACGTGCACGTGCCCTCTGATCGAGTGGTTTTGCCGCAAAATGACATCATTATATTACGATAACGGTCAAAGCTCGTATGTTCCCTAATGGCATCAAACCCTTGAGTAATAAATCATAGGGTATATTTAATAGGCATAAAACACTATGTCAGCTAAGTTGGATTTAGATCTATCCCATTAGACAAACACCAACCAAGATCTACAAGATATTCTTGGACGAAGCAACCCATGGCTGCCGATAAGTTGTCTTCTATCTGGTTGGGTCGACTACCTCCTTTGTCTGATGTAGGCAAAAAAAAAATAATCAATTTAGTTCTTTAGGCATTTATTAGTGGGTTGTTTTTTCTTCTATTGGGCTTGGCCCATTTGCTCTTGACTATTTGGTGTTTGGAGTTCTTGGTTGATGGATTTTGGCTGGTCGTGCCTCTCCTTGGTGGTTGTTGGGTAGGCTGGCTGCTCGGTTTCTAGGCTGGCCGTGCCTTTCCTTGGTGTCTGTTGAGTTCCCTGACTGTTTGGTTCCTGGGTTGGCTGTTGGGACGCTTGGCTGCTCGGTTCCTAGGCTGGCCGTGCCTTGTTCTTTGTGTTTTTTTTCCCTTTTTTGATTGGATGAATGGGTGGTTGTTCGGTTTCTATTTTTTCCTATTTAAGGGGGTGTTTGCTATTGTTTTAAAGAGAGATTAGAAATGAATTTTTGGAAGGTATAACCTACGGGTTATCTTGCTTGTGAGCTATCTTTTCTTCTCTACTTCTTCTATTTCATCTTGGACTTCTACCTTCTTCTCTCCACAGTTTCCACTCCACGTGTATTCTACTTCTCAAAATTATATATAAGTTTTATGGTTTATGTTTGTCTTATTTGTGCTTAAAAGAAGACGTTAGTGTTTGCAATCTAAAAAGTTGTTTATGTTTAAGGAAGACATATTTGTATTTGAAGTTGTCTCTTAATTTGCAACCTTGGCATTTATATTTATCTATGCTGTAAGAAAAGAAGATTTGTGTCTTTGCAATTATTTTTTTATTGCATCAATTTGGTATCAGAGCATTAGGTTGTAGTTCATGTCTTTTCTTTTTTAAAAAAATCAAAAATGAAAAAAATGGGATAACTCAATAGGCCGAAGTTTCACCTCAAGAAGCAAAGGAGTTTGTAGATGGTGAAAATCAGCCTTCTATACAGACGATCTCATCAGGAGATGAGATTTTTCCACTATGGGAGAATTGATGTAAGAAAAAAAAAATCAATTTGGTTCTTTGGGCATTTATTGGTGGGCTATTTTTTCTTCTTTTGGGCTTGGCCCATTTTCCCTTAACTATATGGTGTTTTGGCTGATGGGGTTTTGGCTGGCCGTGCCTCTCCTTGGTGGTTGTTGGGTAGGCTGGTTACTCGGTTTTTGGGCTGGTCGTGCCTTTCTTTGGTGTCTGTTGAGTTCCCTGGTTGTTTGGTTCCTGGGCTGGTTGTTGTGACTCTTGGCTGCTCGATTCTTGGGCTGGCCATGCCTTGTTCATTGGGTTTTTTTCCCAATTTTGATGGGATAAATGGGTGGCTGTTTGGTTTCTATTTTTTCTTATTTAAGGGGGGGTTTGCTACTGTTTTAAAGAGAGATTAGAGATGAATTTTTGGAAGGTATAACCTATGGGTTATCTAGCTTGCGAGCTATCTTTTCTTCCCTACTTATTCTATTTCTTCTTGGACTTCTAACTTCTTCTTCTCTCCACAGTTTCCACTCCACATGTATCCTTCTTCTCAAAAATATATATAATTTTTATGGTTTATGTTTGTCTTAGTTATGCTTAAAGGAAGACGTTAGTATTTGCAATCTAAAAAGTTGTTTATGTTTAAGGAAGACATTTGTATTTGAAGTTGTCTCTTAATTTGCAACCTTGGCGTTTATGTTTATCTATGTTGTAAGAAAGGAAGATTTGTGTCTTTGCAATAATTTTTTTTATTGCATCAATTTGGTATCAAAGCTTTAGATTGTAGGTCATGTCTTTTCTTTAAAAAAAAAAATCAAAATCGAAAAAAATGGACAGCCAAACACTCAACATGCCAAAGTCTTACCTCAAGAAGCAAAGGAGTTTGTAGATGGTGAAAGTCAACCTTCTATACAGACGATATCATCAGGATATGAGATTTCTCCATTAGGGGACAATTGATGTAGGCAAAAAAAATTTTCAATTTGGTTCTTTGGGCATGGCCCATTTGGCCTTGGCTGTTTGGTGTTTGGAGTTCTTTGCTGATGGGTTTTGGCTTGTCGTGCCTCTCCTTGGTGGCTGTTGGGTAAGTTGGCTGCTCGGTTCCTGGGCTGGCCGTGCCTTTCCTTGGTGTTTGTTGAGTTTCCTGGCTATTTGGTTCATGGGCTATCTATTGTGACGCTTGGCTGTTCGGTTCCTGGGCTGGTCGTGCCTTGTTCTTTGAGTTTGTTTCCCTGTTCTGATTGGATGAATGAGTGGCGGTTTGGTTTCTATTTTTTTCCTATTTAAGGGGGTGTTTGCTATTATTTTAAAGAGATATTAGAGATGAATTTTTGGAAGGTATAACCTACGGGTTATCTAGCTTGGGAGCTATCTTTTCTTCCCTATTTCTATTTCGTCTTGGACTTCTACTTTTTTCTTCTCTCCACGGTTTCCACTCCACATGTATCCTTCTTCTCAAAATTATATATAAGTTTTATGGTTTATGTTTGTCTTATTTGTGTTTAAAAGAAGACGTTAGTGTTTGCTATCTAAAAAGTTGTTTATGTTTAAGGAAGACGTATTTGTATTTGATGTTGTGTCTCTTAATTTGCAACCTTAGCCTTTATATTTATCTATGTTGTAAGAAAGAAAGATTTGTGTCTTTGCAACAATTTTTTAATTGCATTATTGACTAAGTAGACCAGGGACCATGATTTCCCTGGACGACGGAACCATGAGATCTTGATCGGGCTCATCTTCATTCCCCCCACCACCAGTTTTAAGTTCATGATAATAAACTCCAAAATTCATATCCCAAATTCAAACCCTAAAACTATTGCTATTATATATTGGATTTACAACCTATGCGATCTCTTTAACAACTAGCCTTAATCAAAAGTTCTCTCTTGTTAGCGGAAGGCGTAATTAAATATAGGGGCTTGCGCCTATAGGATACCAGAACTCAGAGGGCGAAATATCTGGGTAGTGTCTTATCTAAAACCCAATCTGCCATCTGAAAATTCACCGTGAACTTAAATCAGTTAAAACTTTTCGCCGTCACATAAACAAACAAGAAAAGAGATGGTACGGAGAGTTGGGGGCGAAGCGTCGAATTTTTGGAGCCCACAAGGAGGTTACTAAATTATTGAAATTTTTTTTGGAAAAGCTATTCTCATAATGCAAGTTTTTAATTACCCTAAATCCTAAATAATGAGATGGGACTAAGCAGAAGCACGCTACTGTATTTTCATTTAAGCACTTGCTCGCAGCTCTGTTCTTGGCATCGCAGTAGCGACGAGACCTTCCTCGGCTAGGAGACGAGCGCATGAGTAGTTGAGGATTCCTTTCTTCCCTTTTTCCCATCGAGCATGCGACCCTATTTTTACTCAACGCCTTCAACTCTTTATACTTACTCTGTACTTCACACCCCAGCAACAATGAGGCCCTGCTCAACATTGTGACAAGCACGCACAAGGCCACAAGCAGGTGAGGATATTTTTCTTCCCATGGAGTTGCCACCCCTCTGCTCAATTAAGAAGACGACATGCATGCACCTACCCACTTGAAATAGATCGAGTAATAAACTATATATTTCATCCGATTTCATCTAAGGGAAAAAAAAAATTGCTCTATATAAAAAATAATTATTATCAACTGAATATAGATCCATTTTTTCTGAAATAAAAGTCCCAATAAAATTAATGTACCACTTTAAAACTCACTTTCATTCATTATAATAAATTTAGAATAAATAAAAAAGTCAATTATTTTTTTTTAAATAAACTTACTAGCATTATGCACAATCTCAATTCACCCATGCTTGCATAAAAATATAGCTATTGGACATAAGAAAATATGATTAGTTAAAAATTGTATTTACTAAATAATTCAATAAGAAAGAAATCCAAAAATACAACTATTAACACAATTAACTCGAACATCCATTATTTTGGATGATTAGATCATTAGGTCTCCATTTAAACAGTCGAGGTATTAAATTGAGACTTTCATATTATTGGAGATTATTTGGATCTTTCATAAAGAGTCAGGAAATTATGTTAATCATCTTCTTTACCTATGTAATATATTGAATAATATGTATTTATAAATATTATTACATGAATAATATTTATGATTAGTGATAAAAAAAATTCTATTTAACTAATAAATTTTATTCAAATCAGCTTGAAACTCAACTCGATGTCAAACATTGTTACTTGATTCAAACTTGGGCTAGTTCAATAGAAATTATTGCTTTTGACTTTTGCTCTTGCTCGTTCCAACTTGATTGAGTATCGCCCCATATAACCTTTGAAATAATGAGACCAACTTTTCAATTATTTCAGTTCGATTTTTCACATTTGTTTTGCAAAATGTTATTTATATCTTTTCATTATTTGAGCTTCCAAAAATGACAAGTGAAATGTTCAAAGACATTTAACTGTCAAAAAATGTTGTTTGATAAAACTTTTTAAAACAAAATTATGAGCGGTCTCGTTTTTGTAGGTGAGCATAGTGAGCCAGGAACCTGTCCTTTTTAATTGCCCGATTGAAGAAAATATTGCATATGGCTTTGATGGAAAGGCAAGCAGCACAGACATAGAAAATGCAGCTGTAAGCACTAACTTTTTCTCTCTTCCTATGAACTTTTCTTGCTTATGTTTACTAAATACCAAACTAACTTTGAATACAGAAAATGGCAAATGCACATGAATTTGTCTCCAAATTCCCAGACCAGTACAAAACATTTGTTGGTGAAAGAGGGATAAGACTTTCTGGTGGTCAGAAACAGAGGATAGCTATCGCGAGGGCTCTATTGATGAACCCGTGTGTTCTTCTGTTGGACGAGGCTACAAGCGCTCTCGATGCTGAGAGTGAATACCTTGTTCAAGTATTTATGATAAGCAAACTTATAGTCCTCTTCATAAGCAAGTTCCTTGTACCTTTTAACCCTCAATCATTGCATGTACAGGATGCTATGGATTCTTTAATGGAAGGACGAACCGTGCTTGTGATAGCACATCGGCTATCAACCGTTAAAAGCGCAGATGTTGTTGCAGTAGTGTCGGATGGACAGATAGCTGAAAGTGGCACTCATGATGAGCTTTTGAGTCAGAATGGCATCTACACTGCACTTGTAAAGAGGCAGCTGCAGGCACCAAAAGTTGAAATATAGATTCCAGATTTCTGATTCAGTGATTACTGATTGACTCCTGGGGAGCAGAAGCAAGCAGGCAACCAGTATTTGATACTCTTTTTTTTTTTTTTTTTGGAGATATACTTCTGCAAATTTGCAGTCTTATGTCAGCTGCAGCAGATGTTCAGCCAACTCATTTAAAAAAAAAAACAGCAATGCATTTGAAGGCTCAAATAGAAATTAGATGTAATTTGGGTGAGAATACTCTGACTCTAATTTAATCATTTATTATCTTTATCTTAAAATAAATTTGATATCTTCAACGTTTTATTTTGATAAGATTTGTATCATCATGATACAAATTTACTCGAAGAATTTAGTACAAATGAGAATTTTCCAAACCTTAAATGTAAGTTATTATGGTTCTTCAGCTCAGTGACGAGCAATCGATGTAAGCCTACCGCATGGGTTTCACTTGTGCTTTTTGTTCTTATTAATATAATTCGAATTGTGTTATTTTGACTTCAGATGTCAGGAGGTTTTAATCTTACTATTTTGATAATTATTTTATATGCTCTTGCCAATAAAAATCAATAGTTATTTATTATTTGAGAAATTTTGACTTATTTTGATTTGCCCAAAGAGCTTGACCATTATAGAAATTCTTACTCTATGCTATAGAAGTTTTTTTAATATATTTTAGCAAGGAAGATAATGGTAGTGGGTGATCTTTTGATGAGATAAAGGGCTAGAAAAAATTTATTTATCTTGTGTGTAGTGTATATAGATAGGCTCTGAAGTTTTTGGTGGAAGGATGAGATGATAAATATGTATTGATAGGATTGTCGACATTTTTTTTTCAAATTGGATTAATTTGGATGATTATTTTGATGAATGAATTTTAGGTGAAGTAAATAGATGGAAATGATTGTGAAAAGTTTGCTTAGATTGTCTGCTTGTGATATGTAATAGGTTTGTTGGAGTTTAGATGAGAGTTGGGAGGTAGGGAACAATATTATATTCTTGCCTTATTTAGCTTGGTTGAGTGCTATAGATGGCATTTGGAGTGGTTGTAAGGGTTGGTTTGCACATGGTGGTTGGTCTTTAGAGGTTGCTATGGATGTGGAATGAGATTTAAGAAAAGTTGAGAGGAGTTTAAAAAAATGATAATTTATTTTATCTTATAACAAAATATAAATTTAAAATTATAAAGCATCAAATAAAATGTAGAGAATATTTTTGTTATTTGAATAATTTCTTTAATAAAAAAAATCACAAAGCATGTTAGACTATATTTATAGATATTATAGTCTTTTGGACAGATAATTTTGGCGGAAAAAAAGGGAAGTGGTGGAATTAGAGTTGCAATCACTTGTTTGCACTTCCTTTTAAAATGTATCATGGTTGGCCTTACATGTCTTCGGATAAAAAAAATATGTAAAAATAAATTTTTTTAGACATTTAGGCTAATGAAACTCACATATACATCACATATATAAGACTCAAATTAAAAACATCTTAATTAGTAATCAAAACTCCCAACTAATAGATCATAATGAATTGTGCAAAAATAATAAAAATAATTTATAAAATATTTTGATTTATGATTTTTCTAATCGAAAATTGATTTATATGGCCTATTACATTACATTAAGGGGGTTAACAAATGAAAAAATAAAATAAAATATTATTTTAAGATTAGATGAGAGTTTTAAAGAATGATAATAAAAATATTTTTAAGAGTAAGATTCAAATCTCAAAATTTGAGTTATTTATGAAAAAATTATTTGAAGAGAGTAGATTTATATAAGTAAAGAATTCTATCACAAGTAAATTAATGAAGAACAATAATTCTTTTGACAATGAAAGAAATGTCAAATGTCCATAAATTGTTTTATGTTCTTCACATCGTCTTCAGAATCAAAATACTTCTGAGGCTTGAACAACTTCCACAGACCAGTGGGATGCTTCCTCTTCAACTTTTCATCGTTCACCCTCACATCTCTCATCAACCCTCCAAAAATCTTTTCACAGTCGGTATAAGGCTTCACAAAGAAGTTGTAGAACTTCCTCCTACTTAGCCTCACAAAATGCTTCAATTCCACCACCATCTCAAGTAGACCCTTCGATTTCAGAAAATCCACAACTTGTAGTCTGGGAATGATTTGCTTCTCCAAATTCACACCCAAGTAATCGGGGAATTCAAACAAGTGATCAATATTAAACCCTAGTTGCTGCAATAAGAATTGTATTTTTTTCTCCAAATCCTCCTGTGAGTACAAAATTGACCTCGGCTCAACATGGAGGATCTTCAGCGCATCCCTTTGGATCAATCCGTGCTTGCATAGTAACTCAATTCTAATCTTTATGTCGACAACAGCGCAAAGGCGGCCTCTTGCTAGGACTCGATTTTTTATTGGAGTTCTGCATTTGAGGCCTTCAAGCAAGTTCACATAACGTGAGAGCTCTCCAAATTCCATGCTCAAGAGCAGATTAGGATTTTGAATTAAGACCTTTCTAACTTCAATTTGATCAAATCCCAGATCAGAGAGTTCTGCAAAGAGTGGCCTCAATGTGTTGTCGATGCTAAATGCCAAGAATTCTGGGTAAGACTGGCAAATCTTGTTCAATTCCTCCTGTGTGTAAGGGTGGAAATCAGAATTATCTCCCAAACTTGAAACTCACCTGAATTTTAATTGATTCAAAATTAAAATTGATTTGTTTTTACTAAAGATGGCTTGCACACAAAAAAAAAATTTTGATTCAACCTGAGATGGACATAATATATGCATACATTTGCAAAGTCGGGTCACATATTTATACACATGAAATATAAATATGTTATTTAAGTGACATTTGTACAGCCCCCCTATAGTTTGGAGAAATTATTATATGCGGAATCCAGATGTAGCTCTGTGTCAGGACTCCAATTAAATGGAGACAAGTGAATTTTTAATATATTTTTCTAGCATGGCCTTGACAACCTGGCCCGTTCCAGAGGTGAAAATAAGTTTTAGGATTGGCGATCGATCACCATCCCATTCAATTTTAAAATCGCAGCAGATCAAACATCCTCGAGTTTGTGTAGTCTCTTTTCATCGTCGAGCAACAATTGCTCTCGTGTCCTTCAGACACTCTTCATCTTCGAACAAGGATCGCTTCGTCATCACTCTCCTCATTCTCTTTAGGGTTTCTCTGTTTAGGATTTAGTATGAAGGACAAATTAAGTTTAGGGTCTTTTTTTGAACTAATGTGTATATTATGTAAATATATACTTTTTACACAGTATGTATTTCTCTATTATTTACATATCAACGCATTTGCATTTGTACCAGGTGTGTATAAGGGGATTTGAGCTTGATTAAGGTGAAATTTTATCATTGTATTTGTTGAAGGCATGAATGATGAAGCTACATAATCTATTTGAAGTTTCTCTGTAAATAGTACATAAAATTTTTTTTTTCTTCTTGGCAAGTGATAATCCAACTTGTACATACACTATGCATAAGCTTGTACACATCTTATGTACATCGTGTAAACAGTGTGTGTACAACTTGTTATGTTGGAATATCACTTAACTGGGAGGAAACAGGAATTTTATGCAGTTAAAGAAAGCCAACAGGTAGTTCCAAGGCTAAAATAGTTAAGATATTAGCAAAAGAAAAACTTAGGGATATAGATACACTGTGCTCAACGGCATATGCTATCTTTTTTCTATTTTTGATGCTTTATGCACTTGCGCATATGTTGTGTATAATTTTTGTTGAACAATCCATGTGTACAACTTGTACGCAATATGTGTACAAAAGAAATTAATACATAAATTTTGTACATATTGTACACAGTATGTGTAACAGAGACTGTGTACAACCTGACTTGTGTACAGAGTGTGTATAATTTTCCTTGTGCAATCCCTATGTACAACTTATACACAATGTGTGCACAAGGAGAATTAAATCACACCATGTGTACCACCTATGTGTATAATGGGAATTTATATTTAAATTGTGTACAGGTTATACATAGTGTGTGTACAAGCTTGTACACCCTTTGTATAACCTGTACATTGGCTATGTACAAGGGAAATTTATACACAGCCTGTGTATAACATGTACACAGCCTGTGTACAAAGGGAATTTATACACAACATATATACAAGTTGTATTTAGGGTGTGTATAACCTTGTACACACTGTGTACAACTTGTACACAGGCTGTGTACAAGGAGAATTTATACATCCTGTGTACAACATATGCTTATATGCTATGTACAAGAGGAATTAATACACATATATTGACAATTTTTCGTTACGGATGTACACCCAAACGATTATTTTTCATTGCTGACCCTCAATATTTAGAGCTATTTGTGACTTGTTGGTCAGAATATTCGTCAATTAAATCTAGGACATTTTGAAGAAGTTACACATTATAATTTTTGGAATTCCCTGCGTTTTAGTATAATACACCCCTGATATACATTTTGCTATCATTATGGGATGTGAGCAAGCAAGTTATCCAATTTATTCTTTTAAGGTTCAATTGGGCAAGGGCTAATAAGAATTTCTTAATTTCTCAGCTTAATGAGATGATGAAGTATGTTGATGACATCCCACTAGGTTATATAAATGAATTTGTACATTTGTTAAAGATGAGTACTCACAACATCTACATTTTTCTAATTATTACTTAATTTAAAGTTTACGACTTGATCATATGTATATTTAACTTCTGGAGCAAACATCTATTGTTGCCCCTACAATGGGTAACTCAGGACCCCGTTTCCTTCGTTGGGGCAAGAACAATTTTTATATTGCCATCCAGGTCCCCAAATTATTTGATGAACTCAATGATGGGCAGGTACACAAGCTTTCCCACATATAATATGACATGTAATTTAATAAACTCAAATATATATACTTCAACTGACAATGAGCTCACTTCTGTGCAGATTTTTTATCCCTTTCAAGATGTTACTTAAGAGGAAGCAAAAATGCTTCACGAGGTGTTCCCAACCCCACATAGCCTCCAAACTTTGACCACACATTCTTTGCCTCTTCTCCCTTATTCTCCTTAGCAAGTCACATCTCCCACCGAGACATTTGGCAGCCCAATCACCACTTATGCCGACGCTAGCATCTCTGAGCAACTCACGGAAATGCACACCGAAATGAGTACATTATTTAAGACTCTTTGAAATGATATGGATAAACTTGGATTAAGCTTGGCATGAGGGTTGAGCGGCTTGAAACGAAAGTTGCACATATTGAAGGGACTTTGTTGGAACATGGTTCTGTGTATTAAGCTGATAAAACACAACTTCCGGCAAAGTCGTCCACAATAAGCCAAGAATCAGCTACTGTCGACAACAGCTCAAGTGAACTACAATTGGAAACTAGCACCACAGAGAAATACTAGAGTGTACAAAATGTAGAAACAACATGCACTTCACCCGCAAATGTTAAGGGAAGGCATTCCTGAGTGAAGAAGACCATCAAATCACCATTTATAGTAGGTGTTAAGAAGAGAAAAATGAAGCCAAATAAGGGAGAGGAACCACCTGCGAAAGCACCTAAAGCTGATAAAATCATCCAGGTGGAATCATTAGGAGCCTGTAATGGGTTTCATCTACAATGCTATGAATGAAGCTAAAGAGCCTGTAACTTAGGAGGCGAAGAGGAAAGCTTTAGGAAAATTTAAAATATTATTGATGATAGATGGGAGCTACAGCTTCACCGACACTTGCATGCAGCAGATTATTATTTAAACCCTCAATATCAATATGCAAAGAATAAGTCTGTAAACCCTGAAATAAAGTTCGGATTGTATCATTGCATGGATCAACTAATAAGTGATGCAACTGAAAGATCAAATGCTAACATGCAATTGGCACCTTTTAGGAACAAAGAATACTTCTTTGAATTACAACAAGTAAATGATACAATTGTCAAACGATCTCCAGGTAATTTCACTTAATGTTTTAAACATTTATTTAAAAGTTGTTTTTTGAGCACTAATTAAACTTATATATATCTTAATTGAGTGGTGGATTTAGTTTGGTGATGGGACTCCAAAATTGTAGTATTTTCCTGTGAAAGTTTTGAGCTTGACATGTTCTTCATCTGGCTGTGAATGAAATTGGAGTACCTACAACCAAGTATATACAAAGAGGAGAAATCGTTTGTCTATATTAAGGATGAATTCGCTAGTATACATTATGTACAATAGGAGACTTAGAGACAGGAATTTGAAGAAAAAAGGATTAATAGATGATAAAGATCATTTGTTTTGCAAGGATGTGTCATCTGATAAAGACTGGTTTGTACATGATGAAATTGAAGTGATGTCGTCTGAATTACAATATGAAGATTTAAATATTGATTTATTTGATGGTCATAAAGCATCTACATCGACCACAACTCAAGAATAAATAAAAAAAAGTATATAAATAATATAGTTTTCTTAGACTTTTATTAATATATTACACTATTATTAATTTTGATATTGTTCAAAAATATTTAGGGAATATGAAGATAACTGATATCGAGGAAGGAGCTAATTGGGAGACATTGGACTCTATAGGAGAGGAGGAAGGGGAGAGAGCAGTTCATCATAATGATGAATCAAATGAAAACCCCCTTAATGATGACAGTGCTGATGACTTATGAGCTCTAATATGATATGCCATTGCTATTTATTTTTGTAATTATATGTTAATGAAAAGAATATTGTGATTTGGGAAAGATAGAATTTGAGTTGAACTATATTTCATATTATCTTATTATTGGGATATTTTGATTTCACTTCATATCTTGTGTCTTTTATGTTTATATTTTTTACTCATCAGTATATAAAAATTTTATCATTTTATGTTTACGCAATCTTTTGATTTTGAGGCTTACGCCTCGCCTCACGAACGAAAAACGTCTCAATACCCGATTACGCAATTTTAAACATTGGACTCATATTACCACTTTTTATTCGTATAAATATTCTTAACATCTATGTAAATGATCCAACTGTTTCCTCTAATAGAAAGTACATCCCAAGCAGAATATTCTGTCAATGACTATTAACTCCAATAAATGGTGCACATAATAAATCATATTTATTAAACATATAGTTAGTTTAAAAAATTATCATATTTTCAAATTAGTCATAATATATCATACACATCCCATCAACCCAAAAATAAATTCATCAATTTTGACGTTCCATGTGAACATATTGTACTCAACTTATCTATCTTTAAATAATTAAATTAATGAATTAGTGCACTTAAATTTAATCTTTATTTTTTCTCTTTCTGAATGTAGTTATATGCATCCTTTTTAGAGAATCCAACATTCTCGATACCTCCAACTTCATCTGCAAGATAGGAAAATGCATCAATGGTTCTTATTCCGACTTCTATCATTTATTTAAGAACTGATATTTTATTATTACTAATATTCCTACATGATTTAAGTAGATGTTGTTCTTCTCGCCTAGCAAATTCATGATTGTGACTTTTTATAAATTTTTGCACCTTTCAATTCCATCTTGATCAATTGTATATCTAATCATAGCTAGACACTCTATTCTGGTATTTGCTTTCGAAATTTTATTTGGGAATTCAAATCAATACCCTTCTTGATACCAAATTTTGAACAGAGAAAGCTCTATCACTTATCTTTCTAAAATTTGGTCAGTAATTATGATGTTCCTTACAAACATTAAAACCAACATTATGGGCATAATTGTAGTACGCCTCATATGCATCATTCTCACACTTATACACACCAAGAATAGAAATATATAAAGCATTACAAATAGGAAAAACACAATAGAAATCCTTGAGCATGGTGTATAAATTTCCCTTACACAAATATTGTGTGGAAGTGTACAGAGTGTATAAATTCTCATTGTGCACACACTACGTATATACATAGAATATATACAAGCTTATACACACACTACATATAAGTTGTATAGAGGATACATACAAGGGAAATTTATACGCAGTTTGTGTACACTTGTACACATGATATATACACCCTGTGTACAGCTTATACACAATGAGTGTACAAGCAAAATTTATACGCACTTTCTGTGCACTTATACACTAGGTGTGTATAAGCTTGTACACATCTTGTATACAACTCATACACTGGTACAAACTTGTATGCACCGTGTAAAAGTGTAGAAAGCATTAAAAAATAAGAAAAATATAAATCCTTATAAACGTTTAACATGCAATACATAGGATGTGTATAACGATCAGACGATTTTCTAAAAATAATTTCCCTATACAAATCCTATGTACAAATTAAATTAAACATTGAGAAGCAGAAAAACACATAATTAGCATGCCACAATATTTGTGCAAATGAGAGAATTCCTGAACTTTCAAAATTATAATTTTACATAAAATTTTAAATAGTTGTTGTACAAAAGCATGTCTCTTCAATAATTGAAGAATACATCGTAAACTCTAAAAACTATACAGAAAAATTTTGGTAAGAGTTCAAAATTTATCGATAACAAGTTCAAATCTATAGCACCTCCAACTAAATTGACTTTCATTTCATTCAACCTTGCAATCTCCGCATTATCCTATAAACTATCCATGATTGGCTACAGTCTTGTTATCTTCAACTCTTCCTAGACGTTTGCATACCGCTTTTCAGCCTCCACGTTATATGAACATGTCAACTCCTCGGAGAATGTAATGCCATTCAAACCAATATCCATCTTATTGCCTTGCTCGTCATTTATTCTTTCTCAACAGGTATCAAAAGTTTTACTGAAGAGCTTTCATGGATTTTTTTCTTAAAAACGAAAGCCAACCCTGAACCCTAAACCTTATTTTCACCTCTAGGCCGGGCAGACATTGAATCACGCTAGAAAGAAAAAATATATTAAAAATACATGTGTCTTCATTTGATTGGAGTTTGGACACAAAGCTATGCCTAGACTATGCACGTAATAATTTCTCTATAGTTCGATTTTTTGGTGGAAACGGGCAATGTTTCAAATATTTGTAAATAACGACAACAAATTATCCTCTTTAGCGAACAAGTACAACTAATCCTAAACTTAAGTTAGGGTTTCATGAAACTTCGCCAATACTATTAAGATTTCAATTAGTACTTTTAAAGATTTTGACGCCTGATATAACATCATGCTAGGCTTTACAACAAATGTTATAAATAATACCAAAAAAATATCACAAATCCTATTAATATCGTTAGGATTTCAAATACCTGGCATAAGGTCGACAACAATCTTCTTCTTTTTTCAAGATACTTTAATCATCTATAATGTTTTGAATAAATTATTATTTTCACGAAAAAATTCAAAATATATCAAATTCTATAGAAATACTTCAAATAATATTACATGTATAAAATCTATAATAAATCCTAAACTCTACTGAAATATCGCCCTTACCTGTTTTTTAATCCCAGCGGATTTCTTCAAGAACTCGATTCTACGGCTGATGTGGATCCCGTCCCTCATAAATGCGGCAGGAATGGCCTCGAAAACCCTTATCACCGTTTCTGCGCTAAATCCCACACTTTTCATTTGCCGCAAAGTCCGAATAAAGTCCTCCGGCTCAATCTTGTTACTTGCAGATTGTACCAGAATCATCTGAATCGTAGAAGCAGAGGCAGCATTAGTGAGGCCCAGTTCGAAGAAACCATTATTCCATTTTGTCAGAAATTCGTAGTCTAGAGTTTTGGGGCAAGCATGGATGACATAGAGGAGAGAAGTTTTGGAGAACCCCAGGGATTGGAGGAGTGAGATCGGTTTGGATAGATCTGAAGAGGGCGTCCGGATTAAAAATGGGTTATGTTGGATTAATTCGTGGAGGTGGGAGGAGAAGGGGAAAATGTGTTTCCCAAGGAGATTCGCGAGAGAAATTTCAGGAGAGTTTGAGATATATCGGAGCTTCTGATGTGGTGATCCATAGATAAGGAGATGGAGAGGTCGCCGAGCTAACAATGCCCTAGTCGCCATTTTTTGAGGAGGAAGGGTTTCAGGTGAAGCAAAGCTATTTAAGATTTAACTAGTATTTGTAAATCTAAAAGATAAGGGCCAACATTACAGCAAATTATTAGGTCCGGACATCTGACTTAGAAATAGATTGGGACATTCAATAAAAACTTATCATGTGGGCTATGTTTTGATTGTGCGCTTTGACTACGTTTTTTTAACTACGATTTACCTGCGCTTTATTTGCACTTTACCTGCGCTTTTGACTACGCTTTTTTGAGTCAAAGCACAATCCACGTGGCAAATTTTTAGTAGATGTGCGGACCTAGAAATAGATTTGGTGACCGGACCTAATAATTTGCCCAACATTACGGGACTGTTTAGATTCAACTAAGTTTTAAGATTTGATTTGGGACGATTTTTTTAAAAAGTAATAGAAAATTAAAAAAAAATTATTAAAAATTCTGTTTTTAAAAAATCTTCTCAAACTAAGTCTAAGATTTAATTCAAATAGAATTTAGTACATATAATTTGAATTTATTAAGTTTTGATAATATTATATTTTGAAAATTATTTGATAAGAAAGATATTAACTTTTTATAAATCTTATAAAATTATTTGACAATCTAACTCAAAACTTACGGTGGTTAATTAAATAGCATATATATCTAATTTATATTTTTAATTATAACATGTTGAAGTGCTTACTTCAAAATTTAAAAACGAGCTTGATAAAAAAATTTTTAAGTAAAAGAAGTGTAAATAAGAAAAAAATTTAAAAGGAGCAAATATCAAAAATGATTTCACGTTTTCTAAGAAAATGTAAAACTATTACACATATTATGCAGAGGAAGAAATTAAGTTGATGGGAGTGATTACATAGGTGTGAGAGATTTTAAATGTCATGGCGCCAAATTTTCTTACGCTTTGGCACCATTTTTTTGCCACTCAGGCGCCACAAAGCTCTAATGTCAACAGCATCATAACTTTGAAGTTGTAACTTCAAAGGTTCACGTTCTCTTAGTGAGGATATATGACTATTCACTAAATAACCAATCCACATTAGCAAGTGCCGATGCGTAAGTTCACCTCAATAGTGTCGCGACGCCACTCATTCAAGCACCGCGGCATTATATGTCTTTTTTGTGTTGTGCTATAAATAGTTATGATGTTATATTTATAAGGTAGTTAACTTAGTTAAGTAAAATTTAGTACTTGTTTTTAGAGTACTTCTCTAATTCTCTCTTAAAATAAAATCTAAGGGATGCGAGAAAAATACAATATACAATTAATTAGAGTGTTTAGCCTATTTTTCTTGACGCAACTATCTAAGTTAAGGGAGGAGTGCATAGGAGATACTTTGATCCTTTCAGGTGATATCACTCTCTTCTATTTTCATTCTTCCATGAGCTTGATAAAAATGAGTTTGCTTGTCATTTATTTAATGCCTCGCTAATTCTCTTATTTTGGAATGATAAAGTGAAGTGTATGTTAAGTATTAATGAAGACACTTGTTCTATAAATATTAAATGATATTTTCAATATTATTCCGTTCTTAATTTAATGCACATGGTGGTAATATATATAGTTAAAATATAATGTGATTTATAGCATCAACGAAGGAATGTAACAAAAACCAGAAATATTAAAATAGCATGTTTACATGCCTAGACATATGATATAAAATATTCTTGGTTCCCTAAAGATACTATAAGTGTAGGAGGGTAGCAGATATCTTTTCACCCCTATAAGCTCGACAAAGATGTATGGATGCATATCTTCTGAATCACATCGATAATTAAAAGTCTTATTATGAAAGATATGAAATTTATACTCATCATTCCAAAAATACTTTAACTAAATATTTTTATCCAATATTTTTTATAAATTTTATTAACTGATGAATCTCCAAAATTATTATTTTAATTCAGCTGGATAATTATTACAATTAAGGTAAATGGATGTAGTTTGTTGCAAGTAAGCATACTTCCTCATGGGTTCGACACTCTACTTTATCACTTTATTACTTGATTCGGCTAAACAGAGAGATAGAGTTTATCGCTAGATAAAGAGATAGAGTTTTGTATTGATCTTGTTTCGGGTACTGCTCTGATCTCTAAAGCTTTATGAGTTGAAGGTTAAGCTTCATGAGTTAGTTGACATTGGATTCATCTGTCCTAGTGTGTCTCAATGGGGAACACCTATTCTATTTGTGAAGAAAAAGGATAGTATGATGTACATATGCATTGATTATAGGGAGTTAAACAAAGTCACTATCAAAAATAAGTATCCTTTGGATAGGATTGATTGTTTGTTTGATTAGCTGGCTGGATGTTCAATATTTTCTAAGAACAATCTGCAATCTAGTTATCATCAGTTAAAGGTAAGGGTAGAGAATGTAATGAAGACTGCATTTAGTACGAGGTATGGATATTATAAGTTTTTATTCATGCCATTCAGAGTGACTAATGCCCCAGCAGTCTTCATGAATTTGATAAATATAATTTTTAGGAAATATATGGACTAGTTTGTGAACTTCTCTATAGACGATATTCTAATTTAGTTTAGATATGGGGAGGAGCATGCAAAACACTTGAGGACTGCTTTATAAATTCTAAGGCATTATTAATTATATGTAAAGTTCTCGGAGTGAGTTCTGGCTAAGGAGCATTTCATTTTTAGGCATGTAGTGAGTTGTGCAGGCATTTTAGTAGATTCCTAGAAGATTCAGACCGTTTCTGATTGGCCTAAGCCTACTACAATTCCCTAAGTTTGTAGTTTCTAAGGATTGGCTAGCTATTATCAAAAGTTGTTTAGGAGTTTTCTAATATTTATTTGCCTTTGATGAGATTGACTTAGAAGTTAGTAGCTTTCATATGGACTATGGAGTGTGAGGAGAGTTTTCAACTGCTGAAGGATCATTTGAATTCTACTCTAATTTTTCCTATTCCTTCAAGTATTGAGGGGTTTCAAATTTTTAGTGATGCATCATTGAGATGATTGGGATGCATGCTGATGCAACATGGTAGAGTGATTGATTATGTATCTCAGCAGTTGAAACCACATTAGAGGAAATATCCGACATGTGAGATCTTTACATTAAAAATTTGGAGGCATACTTATACAGAGTTAGATGCAAGATCTTTACTGACCATCAAAGCTTGAAGTACATTTTAATTCAGAATGATTTGAATTTGAGGTAGAGAAGATGGTTAGAACTGATCAAGAATTATGAACTATCTATTTAGTATCAGCCCGGTAAGGTAAATATGGCAGCAGATGCTTTGAGTAGGAAGTCTTCAGGTACTTCTCTTTCGTTGTTTACTTCTATAGACTTTCTTATTCGAGATTGGGGAAATTGGACATAGAGGTAGTATATGCTTATACATATCCAAATTTATTAGCTCAGATGATTATTCAGCCCACTTCATAGAAAAAGTTCAAGCTCAAAACCAGATATAGAGTATTTGAAGTTAAGTGATCAAATTAAGGTTATTAAGAGACCTGAACTCTCATTATCAGATTATGTAGTCATTTTCTGCAATGATGGATTATGGGTTCCTTTTATTGGTGACCTGAGAGCTGAGATCCTACATTAGGCATATTACTCGAGCTACACCATTCATCCAGGAAGTAGCAAGAATTATAGAGATTTGAAATGTATGTTCTAGTGATCTAGATTGAAGAAGGATATAGCTAAGTTTATTTTAAAGTATAAGGCCTGTCAGTTAGTGAAGGTAGAGCATCAGCAACCAGGTGGTCTTCTGTAGTCATTACCTATCCCTAAGTGGAAATGGAAGGAGGTGATGATGGACTTTTGCTATGGGGTTTCCCATATCAAGGCAGGGACATGATGTCATTTGGGTTGTTATTGATCGTTTGATGAAGTTAACACATTTTATTCCAATCTGATAGACTAATCTGGTAGACAGATTATCACAGATATATATCAGAGACATTATCATATTGCTTGGTGTGCTGAAGGTTGTTATATCTGATCATGATGGATGTTTTACCTCCAGATTATGGAGGCATTCAGTAGAGAGTGAGTACGAAATTACATTTCATTATATCTTTTCATCATCAGATAAACGGACAGTATGAAAGGATTATTCAGGTATTGGAGGAACTTTTAAGACTTTATGTTTTGGACTTTGGCGATAGTTGGGAGAATCATATCCCGCTTATAGAGTTTGCATATAACAATAGTTTTCAGTCCAGCATTGGCAAGCTCCTTATGAAGCCCTGTATGGTAAAAAGTGCAGGATACCTTTATCTTTGACAAAGGTGTGTGACAAATAGGTGATAGGATCAACTTTTGTGGATTACACTACATTAAAATTTTAGCTGATCAAAGAAAGATTGAGAGCTACATAGGATAGGTAGAAGAAGTATTATAATCAGAAACACAAGCTAAAGGAATTTCAGGTTGGTGATTTTGTTTATGTCAAAGTTAGCCCAATAAAAGGTGATAGTAGATTTGGAAGAATCAGTAAGTTGAGTCTAAGATATATTAGACATTTTGAGATTGTTTAGAGGATTAGTAATTATGCTTATAGATTGTTGTTACTTAATCATATGTTTGATATACATAGTTTATTTCATGTATCTTCTTTGAGAAAGTGTATATCTGATTTTAGAAAGAGATTACATGTTTATGAAATGGAGGTTCATCGGAGTCTACAATACAGAGAACATCTAGAGAGGATTTTGGCGTACGATGTTGTGGGCTCGAAAAAATTTGCACCCCGGCCTCCCCCGCCCTCGAGGAAGTTTTAATAGATTAGGTTATGGGGTAAATTTTAGGAAGACAGATTGGGTTTGTAGATAAGACACTACAAAGATATTTTTCCCTCATTTTTGTGAAGATTTTATGATCTAAGTTCTGGTTTTCTATAGGTGCAAGATATAGATGGATCCTTATCAGTAGCCATGGGTTGATTCATCCAAGGGTACCTTATAGACCTAGATTGGGTATTTATCTAAGGGGATAAATTTGAATTCACCTTAGCTAACATAGGGCTTTATTCCCTATCAATTATATTATATTGATTCATATCT